TTTTTTTGAGACAGAGTTTCACTCTTGTTGCCCAGACTGGAGTGCAGTGGCACAATCTCAGCTCACCGCAACCTCCACCTTCCGGGTTCAAGCAATTCTCCTGCCTCAGCCTGCCAATTAGCTGGGATTACAGTCATGCACCACCAAGCCTGGCTAATTTTGTATTTTTAGTAGAGATGGGGTTTCTACATGTTGGTCAGGCTGGTCTCGAACTCCTGACCTCAGGTGATCCACCCGCCTTGGTCTCCCAAAATGCTGGGATTACAGGCTTGAGCCACCAATGCCAAGCCTTATAATTATTTTTATTGTTATTCTTATGAGGGCCTTTGAATAATGCCACTGGACTTGAAGGTATTGTGCCCTTTCGCTGCCCCTCTCCAAAAGCCACTTTGTCTGCGTAGCCGCTGTTGGCTGTGAGCACCTTCTCTCCTCCTCTGATTTCTTTGCAACCCTCCTCTTTGGGACTGCTGCTGTCCCCTGCCTCTCATTCTGCAGCTGTCAACCAGAGACAAATGCACATCCCTGCGACTCCCTGAAGCTAAGCAAGCAGCTTCACAAGGAACCCTGTGTACACAAGTTCAGCCCTGTGGGTGAGGAGCCCTGCTAGGTGACTCAAAGGCCTGTCCTCGAGCACCCGCCACCAGGCAGCCTTTTCACCGGTGGCTGAGGGATTGCTGCAGTGGGAAGCTGGGGAAAGCTCTGTGTCCCCGCTCAGGCCAGTCTCCCCTGGAAATGCATGGAGCGGGTGCCCAGATCAGCCACACACCCCTAGTTCTTGACCTTTTCATTTCCGACCTCATGTCTCACCTACTCCCCTCCCTTTTCTCTCTGTCTCTGTAAGGCAGGTGCCTTATTAGGGAGCAGTCAGTACCTCCCTGCTGCAGCTCCAGAGTTAGTGGGAAGTTAGCGGTTCCTGAACCTCTGCCTCCAGCAGCTACACCTTGAATATTATCACCAGCCTCTCTCCGCAGGGTCTTGACCTTGGGGAAAGGCTGGGGTGAGGGGTGAGGATGGGAGGAGGAGGGTAGGGAAGGAGGGAGATTGCAGCACTTGTGACCCTGCTATGTCCTGTTTGGCACCTGGGAAAACCATCTCAGGCAATGCAGGCACTAAAATGGCACAGAGTTGGGACCACCTGTTTCACATACCTTCGTTCTAAAGAAAATTGGAGCCAGGTGTGGTGGCTCATCTTGTAATCCCAGCACTTTGGGAGGCTGAGGTGTGTGTATCACCTGAGGTCAGGAGTTCTAGACAAGCCTGGCCAACATGGTGAAACTGCGTCTCTACTAAAAATACAAAAAATTGTATTGTGTGGTGGCAGGTCCCTGTAATCCCAGCTACTCGGGAGGCTGAGGCAGGAGAATTGGTTGAACCCAGGAAGTGGAGTTTGCAGTGAGCTGAGATTGCACCACTGCACTCCAGCCTGGGCAATAGATCCGGAAATAAAAAATAAATAAATTGAAATTATTTATATGTCTCAAAAATAAATAAATAGAATTGGAAAGGTAGGCCTGCACTCCAGGTTGCCTCCGCACTACCTGTCACTGCCAGGTAGCCTATGAGGTGGGAATCTAAGAACATAGGCCCTGTCCCCCAGTTCAGGAGCCAGGCTTCAAAAAGGGTTGTAAGGCAAAGTCTGGGAGAAGACGACGAATCTTCCTTGTTGATTTTCTCTCAAAAGAGTCACAGGAGGTCCTAAATATTCCTAACTTCTTTATTTGTACAGTGGTAAAAATGTAACCTGTCACTCAAGACTTTAACTAAGCCTTCCTTGACCTAATTAGTGTTTTCTCCTGTGTTACTACTCTATAGTGCAGGACTACCACTGATTAGCCCAATCAAAGGATGAGGGTGGCCTCATTAATCCACACTCTAGTTAACTCTCATATCTATATCAACAATTTTCAAAGGATTATTATAAAGCAAGGACCAACTTTGATAATTGCGTTTTTTTCTTTTTAATCATAAGAGCCTTGTAGGTTCTTAGGGCAATGTTTCCTAAAGTCTATTCCATGAATCTCAAGCTTCGTGAGATGTTTATTGGTGTATATATATATATATATATAGACATCATATATTTAAAAATCTAATAAGTTTGGGAAATACTGAATTTTAAAAATGAATACATTCAACTTTGGGAGGCCAGAACAGGGAGATCACTTGAGGCCAGGAGTTTGAGACCAGCCTGGCCAACATGGCAAAATCCCATCTCTATTAAAAATACAAAAATTGGCTGGGTGCGGTGGCTTATGCCTATAATCCCAGCACTTTGGGAGGCCGAGGCAGGTGGATCACATGAGGTCAGGAGATCAAGACCAGCCTGGCAAACGTAGTGAAACCCTGTCTCTACTAAAAATACAAAAATTAGCTGAGCATAGTGGTGCATGCCTGTAATCCCAGCTATTCAGGAGGCTAAGGTGAGAGAATTGCTTGAATCAGAGGCGGAGGTTGCAGTGAGCCAAGATCACACCATTGTACTCTAGCCTGGGTGACAGAGTAAGACTCTGTCTCAGAAAAAAAAAAAAGAATATGTTTATGCATGATTCTGAGACTTCACTAAATGCATTAATGGTGGGTAACGTGTTTTCCAAATTTCCTTGACCACTCAACACTTCTTTTGGGGAGGATGCCATGTGACTAGTGTTTGTGCCAGACTTTGGGGAATTTGGCCTTTGTCAGGCTCAATGTAACAAGAGTTCTCATTGTCTTGTTACATGAGTTGTAGGATGTTGCACAGAAACCCCTGAAAAGCAAGTAGCAGCTATCAGAAGGTTTGGTGACAAAGCTCCTCCTGTTGTAGCGCCTTCAGCATGGACTCCACATTCAACAGGCCCAGGAGCTGCTCCCTTTCGGATGAGCTCCAAGGCCTTAAGAGAGCTTCTCTGGTTTCCGTGAATCCCTCTGAACGATGGTCCTGAGCAAACCTATGACCATCTGCTCCAAATAACTCAGGGGAAGTCAAAGCTTTCCATGTGGAAGGTGACTGAAACCACGTACACAGACTACTGCCACATTCCTGACCTTAAGGAGCTTGGAAATGATTCCAAACACGAACATAAGCCTTGCTACATGAGTGACATGTTGGGCCATGACAGGAACTTGGAGTGTAACCCTGCACCCCTTGAGAATGTGACATCACACCTCATCAAATCCTCTGTGTGAGCTACTGAACTCAACCACGGAACTTCAAACTAAGTCAAAACCTAAGGGTTTGACAGACACTTTGAGACCTTGGGCTGTGGCAGTCAGCCCCTCTTCGACAGGGCCATACCCTGCCAGTCTTTTAACTTGGACACCTCGCCCGACAACACCCTGCCGCCCTCTCACATTGAGGGACCCTATGTGCCTTTGTGAAGCTCCGTTGTGTTGGACGTCTCTCCCAAGAGCTGTTCTTATAACAGAGACATACCACACTTTAATGAGCCTTTGCTTTCCAGAGAGGTCTGCTGCCATCCTAATGGAGCAAGTAGACTTAGTAACTTTGGAACTCACTCACTCTGTGACTAATACACCCTGTCTACCCAGCACATTCCCCATGAGATTTGTTCATGTTCTCCCCTCCTTAAGCATTGTGAACCTAAGAAAAATGTCATCTTTGTAGGGGAATAAACCGTGTGATGGGTGAAATCATACTTTGAGCATCTCCGAATTTTAACCATACACAATGCCTGAGAACTGGGAAATGAAAGGAGGAATTGGATCTAAGAATGTGTTTAACAAAGCACAAATGCCATGGATATCCAAGAACAGCATGCCTGGTCAGATAAACAAAGGCAGGCTACCTCTTCCGAATGTCATAGACTACACAGTACATGGAAAGAGGGTCATCGCATAATATGAGGTAAAAAGAGGCCGTCATGCGGAAGACGGAGAATCGCTGGTTTACAAGATGGTGGCAGAGTCTCCCATGGAGGGCGTCCGTTTGGCCCAGTACCAGGAGGCCTCTTCGGTGTGAAATGTGAAGCCCTTAGGGAATGGCCTCAATGAGCTAAAAGGAAACACAAAATGCAAGAGTGTGGAGGGCACTGAATTAAAAGAAATAGCAGGAATTTGAGAGAGTGGGGGCTGGGAGCTGGAGGAGGGACAGGAGTTGCCCTGTAGGACGTCCAGGCGTGGAGCTGGTGTCTGTGGAGGAGCGGCCTCGGAGGTTCCTCACGGCAGAGTCTCGGAGGCGGGGGACGAAAGTCATTTGCTCTGTTATCACATGAGGGCATGCCTTTAGTAAGTGACCAGGGCAGGATCTCTCAGCAAGGGAGAGCTGAACTGGGGGTGGCCCCAGCCCCACCTCATGGACATCCTCGGAGCAGCCTGGAGGGCTCACACACCTGGCGTCAGGCAGGCCAGCAGGAAACAGCACCACTCAGAGTGGACGAGTGAGCAAAGTTACAGAGGGACCATTGACAAAGGTGTGGGCGGCTGGGGGGAAACCATGAGGGGTTGTGCAGTCCTCAGAGGCGGTAAAGCTCAGCACCATTAACTCCACCTGGCTGGGGGCTGGTGGGGGGAAAGAGAAAGCGGTGGGGGCAAGGGGCCTGAGGGGCTGCCTGACAAAGCTATAACCTTCCGTCATGGGACACGACCGGCACTCAGTGACTCCACAAGGAGGAAGGGGGAGGCGATGTTACGGGGCTGAACTGTTCCCCCAAAACCCACATGTGGAAGCCAAAACCCCCAGTACTTTACAATGTGACCATGTTTGAAAATGGAGCGTAGATGGAAGTGATTTAGTTAAAATGTGGGCCCTCATCCAATCTGACCAATGTCCTTAGAAGAAAAGGTCATCCAAGGAGGAAGGAAGGAGGTTTGGGGACTCACTGTATCTGCTCGCTAGGGCTGCCAGAACAGCGTACCACAGGCTCGGGGCTTAAACACAGAAATGGATTCCTTTCAGTTCCACCTTCTGAACTGCTTAAGCTCCATCAAAGGAGAGATGTCCGGGTTTCCTGTGCCCTTCCCTGCTGGGTTCTTTCACGATAAAGGATAGACCAAGGGCGTGACCATCTGGGTATGATGGGTGCTTCCCCCAGCCCCGGACTCCATCTCAACATGGGGCCAGGCACCCAGGGTACAGCTCAGAGAGGAACAAAAGCTTGGAGAGCTTCCCTAAGTATCCCTCACCCCTCACTTCTTCCCCAGAGTCCTGGGGAGACATCATTCATGACATCTGTTGCCCAGTGTTCTTGCCTTAGGTTCACAGGCATGTGAGTTTCCTCTCTAGTGAGACAGGTGAGGCTGTGAGCCACCTGCCTGAGCCCTTCTCCCTGTCTCTGTCTGTGGCTGGAGCCCTCGCTCTGGTGCCCCAAGACTGTCCACCAGCTCGTCCTCCCTGCCAGCCCCTCCCTGCTCAGCCCCTGGCCCTCCACACCTTGGTTTTGCAGACTAGGAGGTGCTACTTGTTCTCCTCTGTTCTCATGGGACTGCAGGCAGGACCACATAGGGGGTTCTAAAAACACACCCATCCCCCTTTCACAGGGTTGCTATGGGGACACATGCTCAGCTGCCCCCGAACCTTCTTAACCTCTGGAAATCATTCAAATGAAAACATTAACACAGGACCACCCTCCTCACAAAGTCCATATGAGGGCGGAATGAGAGTCAGGACCGGGGTCAGAGCACGAGGCACGCAGGTGTGTCCGACAGATGGGGCGGGGGCGGATAAACCTCAAGACGACCAGGTCACCAAGTCCTGGGAGAAAGCCCAGCCTTGTGAGACCAGCATAGCAGCTCACAGCTATGCACCAACTCCGAATGGGCTCCTGTGCCACCTTCTTTCACACTTCTGGCCACTCCATGAGAGATGCTGTGATCTCCCCATTGTACAGACAAGAAACAGAGATGCAGAGTGGTCACATAAAGCCCACCGACATGCAGATAGTAATGGTGCAACAGGATTTGAACCTAGGCAGATTTCAGAGGCTGCTGTCTGAGTTGCTGATCTGAGTTTCCCTCTAACTAAAGGTAGCAGGGAAATAACTTACGACCTACAGCAAAACAAGATCTATTTTCAAAAGCAAGAAGAAGCCCTCATGAGGACGACAGGGCTGGTCATGTGAAGTCCAAAAGAGCTCCCTGCCTTCTCCTGGCTGAGGTCCACCTCTGTCTGCAAGCTGATGAGGCTGGCCCCGAAGACAGCAGATACTTCTTACCCCACTGGGGCTCAGCTGGACTCGGAGCTACCACCGCCCTGACCTCCCCAGGGCATCCACGGCTCCCAGATTCAGCCTAGAACTTACAGAGTTCTCTAGAAGGAATTAATTGTGGACAGCAGTGGGGACAGTCCATTTTCAGTCTTTCTAATCCCCTCTGGGAGCTGTTTGACTTGAACTCTTTGACCTCCAGGGTTTCAACAGAAGCCTACTTGTCCAGGATGCATTAATCAAATAAGGAGTGAAGCTGCAAGTCCTCTTGGGCAGAAATGGACTTTTTCAGACACTGCTGCACTCTTCTCCCTCAGCGTGTCAGAAATGGGCACAGGACAAGCATCTCAGTGGTCTCAGCTGTCTGGCTTGGAGGTGGCAGGGAGAGAAAGGTATAGCCATTTAATCTTCCTCTTTCTGACACCAGAAAGTATCCCGCATTAATCAGCCCCACATTAATCAGCTCCTCCCTCAAGCAAAAGTTGAGCTGGGAGAGTCCCAGATGGGGCAGTGTCCCCATTATTCATTATTAGGAAGCCAGAGATATCCAGCAGGGTTCAGTGGAGTTTTCAGTCCTCATCTCATATTCAGGGAGCAAAAGACATTCCAATGCAAAACTAGATAGTGGATACTTAATAATTCATCCATGTTGTCCAATACGAGCTTGCATGTAACGTATCTCATAATTTCAAGTAACTCATAAAATAAGCAGTGAGAGACATTTATCGGACAGGCGCTTCCTCAGATCATTTCATCTGCCTGAGAGGACAGACTTGCCATAACGAACCTTATCCAGCAAAACAGGCTGTGAGTTGGAAAGGCAAAATTGCTGTTACATGAGCCCACCCATCTTGCCATCCAAGGGATGAGTTTGCACCCTGAGTGGTGTGGGGATGGCTTGCTAAGTGAAAAGCTATAAGAGAATGACACCTCAGAGATCAAGCCACCCAGCTATGGGATCCTCTGACATGGGAGAGAGAACTTATTTTCCTACCCCTTTTTCGGTGAGGCAAGAAGCAGTAGGGATGTTTTTAACTGCCATTAACCGAAAACCCAACTCAAAGGGGCTTAAGCAATAAGAAATGTATTATCTCATGTAACAAGAAACCGCAAGGCAGGCTAGCCCCAGAAAAGGTTAATTTAGCAGCTCAATGACATCATCAAGGACCCAGGTTCTTTCCACTCTTGCTGTCCTCAGTGCTGCTGTCAGCTTCAGGCTGGCAGCTAGATGCCTACAGTGGTTCCATGAAAAATATCCAGAGTGTCTTAGGAGAAAGAGATCAGAAACCTTCCCAAAGCACCCCTTATGGACTTCCTCTTGAGTCTCACTGGCCAGAACTGGGTCACAAGCCCATGCCTAAGCCAATCACAGGTAAGAGAAGTGGAATTGCTCTCACTGGTTTGAACCAATCAGGATCCACCTTCAGGGGCTAGAGATGGTCCCAGCTATGCTAAAGCCCAAGGCTGGATGGGAGAAGGTGGAAGTCCAAATAAAATCAGTCTCTTGTTAGTGAGGAAGAAGGCAAACTCCAACTGAGAAGACCAACCCCAGGAGTTAGCAGACAGCAGGCACCCAATACGTAGTTATTTTCTTTAAGTGACTTGCCAAAGGGCACAGAGCTATAAGTGGCAGAGCCAGAACTCAAATCCAGAAAGAGAACAAGAATGCTAAAGATAAACTAGGCTTAGTTCACAGCTGCTCCCAGGTCAGCCCCCATGGTGAAGAAGCCACTTCCTACAGGGGTTTGGCTATTTTGTCATTATGAAAGTGAAGGGCACAGCAATGCTTTCTGAGGTAGGGGACCCCCTCCTCCACCATGGCTCCAGGAGTCCCTCCTCTGCCAACATCTAGCCAGCCTAGCTCTCACCTCACAGCTGCATTTTTCTGCTCTTCTCTAAAAAATAACTCCAAGAAGGTTGACAGTTTTTCCTCTGTCTGCATTTGATTTATAGCTGCAATTACAAGCTTTCCTTCACAACGCCTGCATGCCAACAGATGTCTTTTGCAAGTCAGCAGTGCTGCCATCACAGCTGCTCAGTCAAACTCCCAGCATGTGTGCTACTGAAGACCTTTCCCTCCACATTCTGAGGGATGCCAGGCCCTGCCCCTACCCCCTCCCACACTAGCTGGGTCTGAGCTGCCTGGGATATATCGGAGTTGAGTGAGAGGTTAATGATCTTTTCCAACAGAGGCCCCAAAAGACAGGAGAGACTACTTTCTCCACTCCAAACCCACCTGGGATGGCTTAGAGAGTGAGGTCTGCAAACACAGGGTATGGGGTAGGCTACCTGCCCAGAGCTTCCTCCCAGATGAGATCTTTACCATATGTTTCAGTGGGGATCCCATCCTTAAAAACAGACAAACTTCTGGCCCATGTTTGATTAGTTCTCCAACTTCATTTCTGCCCCTTCTTGCTACCCCTTCCTAAAATGGCCACTCTGGAGTCAGTATCTCTGGGTTCAAGTCTTGGCTCTGCTCTTGAACCAGTT